TATTTTGGATTGTGGTTTCTTCTTTTTTCCAGAGCCTCAAATGCCCACATTGTTTTGGATTGTTTTTTAAAACTCCTGCTGGTTTTTGCTTGTAGTGTTGTGTAAATCTCTAAGCTTGTGTTTCACCTATTGAAAATATTCAATTGTTCTTTTACATTCTGTGTCTGAAAGTTTCATCATACTTTCTGGCTTCAGGAAATCCATTAACACTGTGCTGCTTTTCGGCGGGGGGGTGGGGGGTGGGGAGCGGATAATATCTTGCTTTGGGCTTCTCTAGGGTGTGAGGTGACCTGCTTTCTACATGACATTGCTGTGGTAGAGAGGATAGCAGGTTTTTGATCTGAAGTCACTGCTCCAGAAGAGGGTTGGGCAGGCACACATGTGCAGATGCATGAGGTGGGTGCATGCACAGATGCATGCAAGGGGGGGCACAGGGGGCATACACAGAGGCATGCAGGGGGGTGGGACATGCATGGAGACCTGAATGGAAAACTGGGAAGCCTTGGTTTTCCCCTCAAGAACTGAGTCTGCCATCCCAGTCAAGCTCCAGCTGTCTGTCTCGCTCCCTCGTGCTTAAGGTGAAGGGCTTCCATGTGGCCCAGCAATCAGCAGTGATCCCATTCTAAGTACCTCACTCAAATTTCCGGTGTCCTGCTTGCTCCTGGTAAATGGAGGCTCACTGCTCCTTGCCAAAGCTTGCTGCTCCCATGGCTCCCATGCTAATAATAGTTCTCATTTAAATTCCATCTGCTCACTCTGTGTGTGTCATTTTCTAGTAGCATTATTTCTAAGAAATAAAATTTAAAACAGCACAAAAGTCTAATAAATTGTGACATTTCTGCACAATTAAAATACAATCTGGCAATACAGTTTTTTATTGTAATTTCAGTGAAAGTTTACAGAAACCATAGGTTTTCATTCATTCATTGATACACATTTTCTTCCAGCATTTTCTCCCAATTTACTTTGTAATGCAAGTCTTGGTTTAGATCATTAATTGTCATACATATAATGTCTTATCATCCATTACTTTATGATAGTCATTCCCTTCATCTATTTCAGTGTAGTGTTCATTATGTAATCATTTTTTACTTGCTCTCTGCCCATCACACATTTCCATCCTACTTTTATAAGTGTTCTCATGCAGGATTTGTCCTTTTTTATTGAGATATTTTACTCAAAAAAATGTCTTCTAGACTCATGCATGCTATGTAGCATTTTACAAGTTCACTGTTTTTCACTGCTGCAAAATATTCCATTGTGTGAATGTATCACAATTCTTCTGTTTGTTGATGGACACTTGGATTGCTCATATTCTTTGCTATGGTGAAAAATTCTGGAATAAGTATGGGTGTACATACACTGATTTGTTTGAATCATAACTTTTTGGGGGTATGTTGTACCCAATGTTCTGGGTTCGTGGGTCACAGAAGGTAGAGACTCACTAGAGATATGGAGATGAAGGCCTGAAGCTCTCTTAGGCTAGCAGCTGGACCTACCTCATATTTATTGTAAAGCACAAAGAGAGGAATATGCTGAAGGGCACGCACATATTTTTCAGGGTGCTGACGTGCACATATACATTTTTCAGGGTGCTGAAGTGCACATTCACATCTTTCAGGGCACAGAGAAACAAAAAAAATTGTTTTGGGAATTGGCTGTTCCACCATGGCATTAACAATTTGTACTCAATTATGGCTTATACCAGGGAGCTATGGTGGTCTAATGGTTAGAAGCTGTGCTGTAGACATGCTGAAGACATGCTGTTTGACTCCACCAGCTTCTCCTCCCATACATTTAACTGCTTCTGAAAATCCAGTAGAGGGTCAGCTGTAGGTCAGTTTGAACTTGAGGGCACAAGACAACAATATAACATATATAAATATGAATAAATTTTGCAAACTTACGTTGATGAAAATAAGAGGAGAAAGAAGAGATATAACTGCATAATGATTTAAATGTCATCTATATGATAATCAAGAAAAATAATGTTTATCTGGGGTCAAAGAGATATTAAATGGGAAGAGATTTAGGGATCCTTACAGAATATTCCTAGTGTTTTGTTTCTTGATCACGCATATTTACTTTATAATAACTCACAAGCTTTACCTTTATGAACTCTTTACCTTTTTTGTACATGAAAGAATTTATTAAAACATAATACACTGTCATAAAAATAAAAATTTTTATGGTAGAAATGAGAAAATAACTTGGAGAACATAAAGACAGGGTTAGGAGCTTCACAATTTCGCCTTGATCTAAAATGTGCTGAAAGGTCAAAGAGATATACCTTCTTTAGAATGATCTCTTGGGACTGTTTTTCTTTGTATACTACAACATCTGATAATAATTGTCATAATGGGGGAAAGGAATCCTGATATCTCTTTTGTTTCAGTGTCATGTGTCCTTTCTCAGTCTCTTATGATTTGTGGTTCTTCAGGGATCTCCACTCAAATAATATCCCTCCAACTAACTTGGACATTTCAAGGTAATAATAGTTTATACCTCATAGTGTAAATATCCCTTTCCTATCTAATAGTATAAGCATAAAAGAGGTTGGGTGGGAATCTCTAGACACATTTTAGTATGCTTTAATTTTATCCCTACACCTGGATGGTTCATCATGCCTCTGATTCTATTAATAATAAATTTCTACTATGATACAAATTTCATGCCAATCTGGGTAAAGGGAGAAAATACGGTGCACATGCGATTTTAAATCTTGAATGATAGTGAAATTCAATACTTAGAACTTAAAATAAATATTTTTAATAAACAAAGAAGTTCACAACTATAAATTATGCTCATGTAGCATTCTTTTGAGGTATTATGTGTATATAGGTTTTATGAAAACAAAAGAAATTTTCATTTGGCTGAGGTGAGTAAAGTGGCAACCTCCAAGGTTCATGAAATATAAAAGAAGTATGGCAAAGACTCTATTTTCTATTATTCCTCTGAAAAAATAAAAACAACTTTTAGAGTGCCATAACTAAATGAATAGAAATATATCACGAATGAATGAGAAAACTGTTTGCATTTAAGTGTGTATTTTTATTTGTGTGTATGTGCGTAAGTATATGCATGTGTATGTGTGTGAGTGTATTAATGTGTTTGTGAGAATTTAAAAAAATATAGGAACTAATTTCTTAAGTTCCCTTTAATATTATCTCTCTACAACAACATTGCTTTCCTTGTCCCATTTTGAAGGAGCCAGGTGTTGCAATGGTTTAAAATCCCCAGTTGCAAGCTAAAAAGTCTATGGTTGAAATTCTCCAACAGTTCCATGAATTATGACCTCCCTTTATTTCATTTCATTGCTACTAGGCTCAACTAAATAAATTAGTAGACAAAAACTTAATACAAGTGATTCATTGGGGGGAAAAACAGATTAATTGCTACTATTGAATATATTTTATTTTATTGACCTTTTTTTGGCGACAATAAGCAATTTCAGTATATCCAATTATTGGATAGAATTTGGAAAATGTGAGATTTTTTTTAATGATATATCAAAAATATCTATTTGTCCTAACATGAATTATGGTTCTGTTCTTGGTTTATAAGATATTTCAGTGACTATTCATAATGTGATTTCATAGTTATTTGAAATTTTAAAGTCCCATTAAGAATGTTCCTTTAATCTTCTGAAAGGTGAAGTTCTGTATGAGTGCTATGAGTCGTCTGCAACTGGACGACACTTAAACAGCAATAACATCAACATAGAGACAGAGAGATCAGCTGGCCCAGTGGACAGAAAGCGATGCTGCCAAGCCAAAGGTGGGTGACTTTTAATCTGTGGCCCTCTGGCCTGTCTTTCATTTTTTTGTTCAGACATTCCTCTAGGTCATATAGCTCTGGTGTACAAGTTGCCGTACAGCAGTAACTTGAGGTTGCTGTGAGGCTGAACACTGTGACACTGATGTGTCAAATGTGTTAATGGCTGGTTACCCAATGCAGACAGGGAGCAGGGTGGAACTCCCCGATTAAAACAAGCTTGGAAGGAGGAGTGGCATCCACTTTCGTAATATCTTGCCTCTGGAAAGCCTATGAAGCTGGAAAGAGGATGAAAGACACCAAAGCATTGAGGATTCTCCTTCATAGGGTTGCTATGAGTCACCTGTGACTTGAAGGCACTTAACAACAACAGAACTAACCTCTTTCCTCCAATAAAACAATCCTAATTCACTTTATTTAGATGCAAATTGCCTCTTAATTCAACCTGCAAAATCAGAACACACTATACATTGAGGCCAAGGAGACTAGTCCTAAAAGCATTGCATAAAATTGTATCTCTAGTAAGCTGGTGAAATAAATGAACTAAAAAGTCTTAAATAATATATGTTTTGATGCACGATGATTATGTATTATACTATGTATAATACTTAGATATAACAGCTAGTATTCATTCAGTAGCTAGATGTTTGCATTTTATAGGAAAAATAATCTTGATAATCTCCATAAATTATTTGTTTTTCATATAATGAAAATACTTGGAAAAAAATTACATCTCAATATTTATCAATAAAAATGGAAATCTATGTATTTATTGTTCTAATATGCTGAAAATCCATACATAACAGAATTTTCTATTTAATTTTCTTTCATTATAATAATTTCTCAGTTTATCATAAATAACTCCATGACACATAACAATAACATCATAAATAAGCTATAAATTAATTAAATGGATTTTATTCTTCTAACTTATTTAAATTTTCTCTGCTTTATTTTGTCTGTGTGTGATCAATTTTATTGTTCAAGAAAGCTCTGCTTTCACAATTAGACTGCACACGCCTTGGTACACTCTTAATGCCACCTACTCCACCTACTACAACTTCTGAAGAAACATTTCTCAAAGTTCACAGTGATTTCTCTCTTCTCTCAATGATAACATTTAAAATATTTCTTTTAAAGCCTATAAAGTGATTAGCAATCAGTATGTTTAATTATGTCCAAATTCTTACAATGTTTTCCTCCTTCTTCCAAATAGGTCAGTGGGAATGACCAACAGTAGTTTCATAGGAGACTTCATCCTGGTGGGCTTCTCTGACCAGCCCCAGCTGGAAAAGACACTCTTTGTGATTGTCTTGGTGTCTTATATTCTTACACTTGTGGGAAACACAGTCATTATTTCAATCTCTTCCATAGACCCCAAACTTAAAACACCCATGTACTTTTTCCTTACTCATCTCTCACTAGTTGATATCTGTTTTACCACCAGTATTGTTCCCCAGCTGCTGTGGAACCTAAAAGGACCAGCCAAAACCATTACAATCCTGGGTTGTGCTGTTCAGCTCTATGTTTCCTTGTCCTTGGGCTCCACTGAGTGTGTACTTTTGGCTGTGATGGCTTTTGATCGCTATGCAGCTGTTTGTAAACCACTCCACTATTCAGCTGTGATGAACCCACGCCTGTGCCAGGCTCTGGCTGGGGTTGCATGGCTGAGTGGAATGGGAAATGCTCTCATCCAAGGCACAATCACCCTCTGGCTGCCTCGCTGTGGGCAACGAAGGCTCTATCACTTCTTCTGTGAGGTACCTTCTATGATTAAACTTGCATGTGTGGATATACATGCCAATGAAGTCCAGCTCTTTGTTGCTTCACTAGTATTGCTCCTTTTACCCTTGTCACTGATTTTACTGTCCTATGCATTTATTGGCAGAGCAGTCAACAGGATTGGGTCAGTCCAGGCCTGGCACAAAGCACTGGGCACATGTGGCTCTCACCTAATAGTAGTTTCCCTCTTCTATGGGACCATCACAGCTGTCTATATTCAGCCCAATAGTTCTTATGCCCACACTCATGGGAAATTCCTCTCCCTGTTCTATACAGTAGTGACTCCTAGCCTCAATCCTCTCATATACACTTTGAGAAATAAGGATGTGAAAGGAGCACTGAGAAGACTATTTAACAGAGATCCAAGCCTATGAAACAAGAAGCAAACTATGCAATGGTTATTTTTATTGGGGGGGGCGATCCTGAAGATTTTGTGTGCTATTTAATTCAAGAATTTTTTCATCCTAACAAGGATAACTCTTTGTATTCTGTATTTCCCTTGTCCTCCGAACGATCTTCCATCTCTTTCCCAAGATTCTTCTGCATATTATCAAAGACCATATTTTCCCCAAATTCTCCAAGTCTCTATGGTTTATATTGTTTTTCTCCTCTTTTGTCTTGAGTTTTTATTTGGGCTGTCTTTTTTGTTACTGTTGTTCATTTATAAATTTAAATTTTTTTCATTTTAATTTATATTTTTATCATTCATATACATTATGTTTCATGTATTTACACTGTGTTTTATAGAATCTTTTACTTACATCACATTGTTTTCATGTTTAGTCTGAGGTTTTTCCTCCTTACAATCATCTTTCTAATAACTACATTCACAAAAGCATGTAAGCCAGCTACTTCATGTCTCATTTCTTACCATCCGCCTTATAGATAGCCAATTTTTTTAATTTTTCCTGTATTCTTCTTTTAAAAATTTTTCTTTCTTTCTTTTTTCTTTATCATTTATTCCTTCTTTCACACTTACATGATAAGTGTAATAATTTTTTTCTGATTGTTTCCTATGGAGTTATATTTCTTCATGTCAATGTTATAATAATTTCTGAAAAGAAATAATTGCAAAAAATTTCTAGCTATTACAATTAAAAGAATTTCATCTGTGTAGTTTAGTAGATTAAAATTATTATTTCAATTTTAACCCCACAAATGTTATTTTTTAATCTTTTACAAGATTATATATATCTCTTGTTTACATAAAGTTACCTTATGAGTAAAAAGGAATAGGCTCTATTCTCTTGATTAAAGAATTTAAAAGATAATGTAAGGAAAGCACTTTCTAAGAAGAGGACATAAATATTAACTCATGTCTTTTCCAGTATTGTATTTATTTGGCAAATTTTCCCATTATTTTATCTCATATACTCCATTTGAAGGAGGAGTGGCATCCACTTCCATAATAGCTTGCCTCTGGAAACCCTATGAACTTGGAGAGAGGATGAAAGGCACCCAAGCGTCAAAGACCCTCCTTCCTAGGGTCGCTATGAGTCGCCTGTGACTCGACGGCACTTAACAGCAACAACAGCAACATATACTCCATTACTTTCAGTTGTATTCAATAAAAAGTCTTATCTAGTCAATATTAAGTTTCCTCCCATGTTTGTATTTAAACAGAAAAAAAAACACTTGAAAATATGAGAGAAGTAAGTTAATCTTTGCTCTATCATGACATCTAACTTCTTTTGTCATAGAAATCCTTTTCTGTTCTCAATGTAGAAAATGCTGCAGCACATTTTCATATTAGTATAGGGATAACAGAGATGATGAGATGATGGGGTCATTTCCAGAACAAAAATATAGTGTGATACTAAAAAGTGAAGTCTGACTTGGAGAGATAAAATTCCATGTTCTAGGGTTGTTGTTTTTTTTTTTTACCAGCTGCATAATCCTAGGAAAATTATTTTTTCTCTTTGCATTTCAATGTCTCTATGTCTAAAATGAAAGTCCCTGCAAGTTTCCTTGTAAGTCTTCTCAAGTCATAGCCAATGGAATCAGTTTCTACTATTAGAGACCCTCCATTGTGTTTCTGAAACTGTAAACTGCTTGAAGAGATTGCTTCTATTTCCAACTCTCTCTCCTGAATTTTTAGGAAGTAGTTAAAGGCATAAAGAAAGAACTCTATTACTATGTTTATTTTCTTAGTAATGATTCTGGTACAGAAGCCTTGATGGATAAGCACTTGGTTTATAGTAAGTCTCTATGTGTCAAAATCAACTTGAGAGCAATGAGTTTTTATAGAAGTATAATTTCCATTTTATTGTCCTTAGTATGAAAACTGCTTTACTTAGAGAGGCCTTCAAAGAATATCCCCGAGAACTGCTTCCCAAAGTTCACAGCCATGAAAACCCCGTAGAGTGCATTCATACTCTGCACATTCAGTCACCATAAGTCAAAATTTGCTTCATGGTGACTATATTTTGTTTGTTTATTTATTTGTTTTTCTTTTTCCCTTTCATTTTTAAATAATGATAACCTATGAATCATAATGCCTAAGAGAGTAAACGAATGATGCAGAATTAAGTATCTTTTTGTTGTGCTTTGCATAGATTCATCATGAGTGGGAGAATCTATAACAGTTAACAAGCTCACCTGAGATATTAAAGAACTGCCTTTGGCATCTGGCCAAAACTGCTTGCTAATTTTTTTTAAACATAAAAAATATTTTAAAAAATCAATGCTGATTTTCTAGTATGATCTAATGATTTGATTCAACTATAATTTTGACTCTTGCTTTGATTTTTTTATGCTATCTCATTCCCAAAGTATGAAAGACAATGTATTCCTACTGATAAAGTTTCAAGTCTAAATGAAGATATCCTTATAAAAGCATGGGGTAATATTATTAATTTCTCACAAGCTAGGTTCCCTATTATTTTCCAAATCAGATGAGATTCTAATGACCAAAGTAAAAAAAAAAAAAAAAACAAACAACAAAAAACACAAACCCAACCAAAAAAAAAACACCAAACAAAAACCCAAAAGACCTGTACCAGCCTACCTTTTTCTCATTGTATAATTGTAAATATATTGTTCTATCTCATATTTTTTAAGAATCCCAAATCATCTGTTCTCCTCTGTTTTACTAATAGTTACTACCTTCTGTTTTAGCATCAGAACTTGATAAATGCCTTAAAGTAGAAAAAACAATTAATGTCAATTAATAATACCTGTTGTTGTTGTTGTGTACCATAGAGTCAGACCAACCCATAGCTGAATCTCCAGCGAGTTTCAAAGGCAGTAAATCGCATAGGATACTGTCCACCCTTGTTCCATGAAGCAGCTGGTGGCCTTAAACTGTGTGCCTTCAGGATTGCAGCACAGCTTCTTGCCAGTAGGCCACCAAAGCTCTTTTTAATAGTACCTAATAATAATTAATAAGTGTCAATTAATATTAATTAATATGAGGAAATTAACTTTTAAGAAATATCCTTGCATTCTACTACTAGAATTCAAGTAAGTATATCTATAACTTTAATCTCAATACTAGAATGAGAAAAATATTTTCTGTGTTGTCAAAAAATGGATGTATACATAAAATAAATGATATACATACAGTGCAATATTATTTGAATATAGAAATATGTGAAGTAAACATATATGCTATAGCAGGGATGAACCTCAGAGATATTACTTATGAAATCAGAAGATCAGAAAGCAGATTAGAGGTTGCTTGGATTTAGAGCAGGAAAAAATGATAGTGATTGCTTACTGGGGTCAGGATTTTCTTTTGAGATAGTGAAAATGTTGTAAAATTTTATAATGGTGTTGTTTACATAGCATTATGAATATACTAAATGTCTTTGAATTATTTATTTCAAAATTGTTTAACATTTTGAATTTTGTATTATATGAATTCTATTTCAAAAATACAAAAATATCATGGTCTTGAAGTGTTACTTGAGACAAGTTTCAAATTCTAAATACAGCTTCTTGACTACAAGACTTCTTAAAGTTTTTACTTATTTTGTTTTATTTAGTAAACCTAGTCAATTGCACTAGATGAGTTCTTCTACTGATTATAAACTATATTTGAAAATGTTGCTTATTTAAAGGCAAAATTAAGTAAGTTACCTAAATATATATTACTAACAAAGTGATTGAACTATTATTTAAAGATGCACTAGGGAGCTCTTGTGGGCTAGTAGTAAAGAGCTGATCTCCAACCTGAAGGCACATAATTCAGACACACTAAATGTTGTTGTCGTCGTTATGTGCCTTCGAGTTGCCTATGACTCATAGCAACCCTATGTACAGCAGCTCTGAACCTTGCCCTGTCCTGAGCCAGTCTCACTAATTCTGACACACCAAACTCCATAGTCCTAGTTAATTTATCAATCCATTTCATCCAGGGTCTTCCTCTCCTACACTGTTCCTCCACCCTTCCAAATATGATGTCTTTCTCCAAGGACCAGCCTATCCTAGCCACATACCCAAAGTGTGTGAGATGGCATTTCAAAAACCTAACCTCCAAGGAGAAATTTGGTTTCATCCTCTCCAAGACAGACCGATTTGTTTTCTTGGCAGTCCATGGTGTATGTTCAAGACTCTTCTCAAGTACCACAATTCGAAGGCTCAATTCTTCTTCTTTAATACTTAGTCATTGTCCAGCTTTCTGATGCCCTACAGCAGTGGTGGTGGCAACAGTGAGTCCCTTCTCACCTGTCTGCTCATACCCACAGGGAAGCTTGGCAGTTTGCAGGTATTTGCACCTTGTGCCTGCATCCTAAATTTAAAAAAGAGATAGCTAGTGATTGCCTGGGAGGGATGGCGAGGGAAGTCTCAAGAAACAATATCTATTCTCAGGCAACAGTAATTTTTGAGGTACTTCCTCTGCAGTAGAAAGGAAATGCAACATCAGAGTGATTCCATATTCCAGATAATTTAAGAATTCTGAGCCATAAGCTGAACTTGGTTTCAGACTTAGAATGTTCAAACATCAAAGTCAAGTTCAATGATTCAGTTACAGAAGGAGTAAATGACTGAGTACTTGTGAAAGTTATGGTCAGTTTCACTTTGATTGCTACCTTGACATGTGCACTTTTCAGGTACTTTTGCCTTGAACACAGCTATCTAGTTATATCACATGGGATTTTTAAGCTCAAGCAGAAGAGGTCAGATACAGTTTCTGGAGGACAACAGTTATCCAACTTTGGTCCCTCAGCCCAAGAGGAGAGCACCAATATACAAATCCTTCACAAAACATTGCCATCCTCTGGGACAGTATACAGTTACAACAAACTAACATCTACTAAGAAAAGATTCACATAATGTAAAGAAAGCAGCACTCTGCCTCAGTCATCATGAAATAACAAAATAACTCTTCTCCTTAAATAACATAGCCAATTAGTACCCCAAACAGAGAGAA